ACCATAAATATTGATATTGTGCGCTTGTTTTTTTTATTTTTTTTTATTAAAAGCCGTTTAGAAATTAGCAGCTGATATAAATGTATTTAATCTCATTACAAATTATTATTAATCAACGGAAATAACTTGATTTTTAATACACAGAAACCTTTTGTAGATTTTTAATGAGCGGCGAAACGTTAACCATCTAATATTAGGAGAAATGATTTACCATGCGGTCATATCAGTGCTATAGTTTGACTCGAAATGTCTTTAAAACAAGGATTAAAACAGCCGCTGCGTCTTTTAGAAAGAAGTGATGACTTTGAACAGAAATGTAATCAAGTTATCAGACTTCGTTTAAAGAGAATCTGTGAACTGTGGTAAGAGATAATGAAGACACAAGAGCAATTACTGCTGTCATTTCATTTGTTTTGTCCAATATCATTTATAAATGCTATAATTGGGCTGCGTTTAGGGGGTTTCAGGCGACCAGGCATGTTCTAATACTGTATGTTTGTGGCTTTGTGCCAATGAGCTTCCATCATCCCGCTGTGAGACCAATCTGTGTCCTGTGCTGACTAAGACCGTCCACTGCTCACGTCGACGCTCCAACAAACCACAGTTTTATCTCGGACTGCAATCGTCCCTCTCTGCTGTTTACCGTTATAAAAATGCAAAACCTCTAGTGGCGTAAAAGCCTTGTGCGTCCGGCCGAGCACGGAGACAAATAACGACTTGAATTTTCCAACAGCACACACAGGAACGTTTTGGAAACACGTGCTCGTTCTTTTTTTTTTTTTAATCTCTTTCTGGTTTCTGCTTGGTGTAAGCCTGAGAACTGCGGCACCGCAGGGACATGTGTGCCTTTACCAGCGCCAAGCTTGGTGCAGGCTAGTTTCATTTCAAGTCCACAGCATGCACACTGGAGATCAATGCAACGCCCAGAGACAGGGAGAGGTGAAAACTGAGAGAGATACAAGAAAAACGGAAATGGATTGAACAAAATTTGGTTTGATTTCTCCACGGCAGAGCAGGAGTACATCATTTACATGAATTTTATAGACTTTGGTGTTTAGGAATGTCTGTGTGTGTATTCGCTATTGTGGTCACTGCATTAATGAGTTCAGCAGTGTGATACCTCGTGGGATGAAACTGTTGCAGACCTGGTGGGTCTGGTCTTCGGTACCTTCTGTCAGAGGTCAACAAACAGTCCGTTTTGTGGATTTTCATTCGCTTTAGCACATTTAGCTTAAAGTACCGTATTTTCCGCTGTACACGTGGCTCCGCCCTATAAGTCGCATCAGTCCATGTTTGTCTAATAAAGTAGAAAAAAACATAAATATGTCGCTTCGTCGCATCTATTACGCATCACCGCTGACAACCTGTGGCGTTGTGCCAAAAATCCATGGCGGCCGCGGGAGCGTGCATGGGAGGACTTTAACAAGAATTTAACAAGATAAACGCCTAAAAACAATTATTTGTTTGCTCGAAATTATAGTAAAGATGTGTCTCGGTCTAACGTTTGCTTAATAAATGCACTTTGGCGGTCAAATCAGCTGCATTTCAAAAGCCGATACGTGGACGTAAACGCGTGCATGCAACAAGTCGCTGTGCAAATTTAAATACTTAACTTTCAAGTTAAATATTTAGTTAGTAAACTAAATAACGTTTGCTAACGTTTGCTTAATAAATGCACTTTAATGGTCAAATATTTAGTTAGTAAACTAAATATTTAGGTGTAAATTAAATATTTAATTTCCAAACTAAACATTTAATTTCTAAGCTAAACATTTAATTTCTGAAATAAATATTTAATTTGCTAACTAAATATTTAACTTTGATCTAAATATTTAACTTGCAAGGGGAATACTTAGGCACTTGGACCTAAATATTTAGCTTGCAAGTTAAATATTTAGATCAGAGTTATATATTTAGTTAGCAAATTAAATGTTTATTTTGGAAATTAAATGTTCAGTTTTGAAAATAAATATTTAGCTTGGAAATTAAATAATTAATTTACACCTAAATATGTAGTTTGCTAACTAAATATTTAACTTGCAA